CCTGGTCAGCATACCACACCATTCAAACTCAACTGACGGGAAGGCATAAAACATTGTTACATAATTAACTTGCCCTTTATCTGCTAGTAAACCTTTTCAAAAGGCTACATGACTACTGGACAATTCAAAAATTTTATTTGGGGCCTACGTATATGCTACTCTGATTTATTTTTTCCTTGTTTTTTTATAGGAATACCGTTTTCTCTATTTGCATGTATATGTTTCCTAAAATTCAGAAATGGCTTATATTTTCATCTAGAAAATATAAGTTCTTCAAAGTCTAGGATTTAAAACTTTTATTTGTCATGCTTATGTTCAGCTTATGCTTACTAAAATAAGCAAGTCAAATAGCTTGACAAAGGAATCTCAGGTACTAACTGGCTGTTGTGAATGGGATCAGGTCAATGTCCGGATAGTACATCTGTCAACTTTTTATACTGTCTTCAAGCAGGCAGACTCATACCAGTTTGTATCATTCAGCACATGGTATATCAAATTATTTTACTGTCTTTCTGAAGACATAGAAGCATACACGGAAACATCTTGGAGCCCTTTGCCTTTGCAGAGTCCCACTTGCTTCACTTTCTTCTCACATAAATACCACTTCTTTGAGAGAGTGTGTTTTATCAAGCTGTTACTTCTACAGTCTGGCATGGAAGATGAAAAAACTAGAAAAATACTACTATATTTCTGTATTTATATTTTACTGAAAAAAGTATTAAATTGTAAATGACAAGCACAGAATATTTAAAAATAGTCCAGTATTATTTATTAATTATTTTTTGAGGAATAGATCCTAAATATAGTTCAAAAGTGGAATCATTGGTGGATAATGCTGTTTGCAAGTCTTTCACTGAATTTTGTCCCAGAATTGATGGGGTTCAGTTTGGTATGGAATATAAAATATCACTGGTGAAATGCCTGCTGTTCTGTGTTTGGTTGTATAAAATATGATTAGGTTTCTCCAAGGCTTTTCATGTTTAAACTATACGATACTTTTTAACTTTCTGTGGCAGGAGATATCTACAATTATCTGACAGGAGGATGTAGTGAGGTGGGTGTTGGTCTCTTCTCCCAAGTAACAAGTGATGGGACAAGAGGAAACAGCCTCAAGTTGAGGAGGGAAGGTTCTGTCACTGAGGTATCCAGGTCTGTTATTAAGACTTTGTGTGGACACAGGCTACCTCTCGATATACAGAAAGCCAGATGTTGCAATTTAATGGTTATAGGAAAGTTGATGTTTAGCAATATCAGATTTAAAAAGGAGAAACATCTCTGTCCCCATAACCTTAGAGGAAGACCAGACTGGCAACATTTAATGAAATGTATTCATTATAATATCTGTAATTATCTCCCCACAAATGGCAGCAGACTAGAGAAATGCTTATCCTTCACTTGAAAAATAAAAGATGATCCTTCCCCAAATGCACTGATGCTGAAAAATATTTGAGAATCACTGTGTATAACTGATTAAAAAAAAAAAGATATTAAAAGCACAAATGTGAAAGTATCAGAATAAAACAGTAACATAATGTTGGATTAAACATCACTGTAATATTAAATACTGCCAAGATATCAGTATTTCTGTAAGTATTTAATTTTATTTGGTTTGGTGGTAGAATAAATTTTGAAGTAGATCTGAGAAAGAAGTGTTTATAGTGAGAAAGTGAATTATTTTTATATGTATAAATTATTTGGGACTTAGTTAAGTGATTTGATAACAGAAAATAGCTAGAAGTTATCTTTTATGTTACTTACCACATTAATAGAGAAGAAAAAGACAAAAGAAAATGCACAGTTTGGATGCTGAAGCAAAACAAATTCAGATAGGAAAAAGTAAAGATTTTTAATACCAGATAATACTAGGGGATAGTTGGATTAAGAGGAAGCTCTGCTGTCTTGTCATTGACTTTAAAAACAAAGAATAGATACTTGCCTGTGAATGGATCAGATCTCTGACAGATACTTGCCAAAGCAAGGACTTCAGTCTTTGTTACCCTGGTGATCAACTGAGATATTCAGAGCAGTTCCTTTTACAGTGAAAGTTGACTAATTTCTTAAACATTTGACTACTGAAGACTTCTATTAACATTGAAGTATAGACACAGAACCATGCTGTTCTTACAGTGTAAGGGTCTAAATATATTTTGTAATCAAGGTTGTCATCTAGTTCCCAACAGGGCTCAGAAGTGCGTGGTGCATCCAACAGGGCTCTACATGCTGCACAGATTATTTTATACAAATCTATGTAATTATATTGTAATTTCACAGGATTGTTGCCTGGTACACTGGACATGGTCTCTGACTATAGAAAGCTGAACAGCACGCCCATGAAAACATGAGTGTTTTAAAATACTACTTTTGCTTTTTATTGAGATGCTTAACCTTTCACTGTAAATACATTTTTTCTTATTTTTGACAATTATTCTTATAAAAAGGAGAAGTAAATATGGATGTGGACACTCTAATGAATATGTTTTGGAAAAATCCTCCCAAGTTTAGGAAGTCGAGAGAGGAAATTTTCTTTATGACCTACTTTGCAGTTTCAGTTTTTATGCCAGTGTAAAAATAACAGCTTAGTAAGTATAATTTCTGTATTGCAGTTTAGGAAAACATTATATAATTAATTCTACATAATACTTCCAGAAAAACTGATGTAATTGGGAGTATGTTTAGGAATGTTAAACTTCAGATTGCCATGCATGCCATGTACTGAAGTGACTACTTGTAAGGAAGGTGTTGCATTCTCCTCTTTTACCAGTTAGTAACTTAAAAACTATGAAGAATTCCATTTCAACTACCATCTACCTGGCTTTTATCCCCCATAGGTAATCATGTCTTCTCTAGAATATTGCGTTGAAATCTGGTTATCAGGAAAGAATGCATGTTCTGCATTTTTTGAAATAATGTCTTTTCATTTATTTTGTTTTAAGCATCGGAGACTGCTAAGGCTTCAAAAAGCCTGGCTTTTAATGTAACATTCCTTAACTGTTGTGTTATGATGGTCTTTCTAATATTACAGGCTTGCGGTTTCTGTGTTTTGCTAGAATGACCTTTTCTGCAACACATAATTTGATAGTTGAGATGCTACAATTTATTTCATACTTGCATACAGCCTGTTACTGTCATTAGAATGGATGGTTGTTCTTTTATGAATTTAATAACTTATCCACATAAGATGGGCTAATCAGTAGGTTTCTTTGTTATTTTAGCATAGCTGCTCTTAAATGGTTTTATTTTCCTAAGGCCATTTGTTATATCAGTCTTTCAGCACTCGTGGTTTCTATGCTTTCTCTGCTCTTTACTTTTTCTTAATAAAACATGGTATTTTTATCCATGCAGTTGTAAGAGATGTCTGTCTAAATTTTTATTTATTTATCCTGGAATATTTTCCAATAATATTTTCCTAAAAGTAAAAAAAATGTTTACACTTGCAACAATGTTTTGCTTGTGTACTAAACCTTCATAAAGGCAACACTCTATGTACTAGCATAAATTAATATTCAGTGATTGAAACTGGTTAATCTGAAAGGCACCCTAGCTTTGCTTTGGTTAAATGGATAGGATATAAATAAATATGCTTTATGGGCTGAGAAATTTTCTGAACTTGATGTATGTGAAAGATGAAATTGCACTTACTTATGATATAGTTGGGGGGGCTTCATCCCCTTTCTCAATCTTAATTTCTTAAGTTTAATTTTAATATTGCTACTTTATATATTCATACAGGTATGTGTGTATTACACTTTATTCTTCAAAGCTGTAACTCTCTCGTACATTAGTTAAAAAGCTACGGTACCTAAGTGATGAAAGATTTATATCCTTTTTTTCCTCTTTTTTGGGTGTGTTGCAGTTCTGCATGAAAGCCACGCTAATTTTAATCAGAATTCTGTCAGTGTTTTCCTGTCTGTGCTTTTGTAAGCGTACATGCACTGAATAATATCTAATAAAGTTTATTTGTATTATTCAATCATCAGTGAAAAATGTCCTGTTTCTTTTCCAGTGAGTAAAACGAATAGGTAGAGAAGTGGTGGAAAACTTTTTTGTTAGCATTAGAAATGTTTGACATCTCTGTTAATGCACTATTATTTTATGCAAGTATACATGCAAACTAGCATGTTATACAGTGCATGTTTTAGATGCTGCACAGTAGAATACGCAGCAGCTAAAACTAATGGGATTAACTGATCTTGACTGATTGAAATAAAAAAGCCTATACTTCTAATTAATATTCATAAATATTCAAGTCTAATTGAAATCAAAGATGTATAAAAAATGCTGGTGTCAGATAGAACTGATGGTTTTTATTTTCCCTTAGGATAAAGTATACTATGGGAACATAATAGATGAGCAGGTTTTCGGCTCATATAAACATTGGCAAAAATATGACAAATAGAAAAGAATTTCTATTCTTTCTTTCCTATTTCCAAGATATATATATTTAAATATTTCAGAAATCATTTCACTTTTTGAATTATCATCAGCAAGGTAGAGCAGACTGACATTTCTCTGCATGATTTTGTTGTTGCTTAGTAGGTTGGGGTGCCTCCTGAGAGATGCAGCTCAGTTGCTAATATCCTCAAGCCTAGACCTGAGATAAAGGTAGCTAGCACAGGACTTGGGAACCTCACAGTGACCATTTTGCTTTCTGTCTGCTACTGGGTGAATCAGCTAGGGTTATGTTTCCCAGATAGACTGAGAAGTGCGCCTCTCTGAGCTGACCAGACTCTTTGGGTCTCAGTGTCCCATGTGTAAAATAGGATTGGGATGTGATTTCCTCATTCAGTCATGTGCAGGGAGGATAAATACATTCTTACAGTCTCAATGGTTCAAACCCTGTAGTAATACCCACACTGAGAAGCCATGTTTTCTTATCTCTGGAGGGTCATCCAACCATAGCAGGCTGGAGGTTTCTGAAAGCCCTTTCAGTCTGTTGTTCTTGTTGTTCTTGTGCTTGATGTTGCAGTTTGTTGAGTCTGTTTTTTCTTTCTTTTTTATAGTTTGAGGGATGCAAGAAAGCCTTTTCCAGACTAGAAAATCTCAAAATTCACTTAAGGAGCCATACGGGTGAAAAGCCGTACCTTTGTCAGCACCCTGGCTGCCAGAAAGCATTCAGCAACTCCAGTGACCGTGCCAAGCACCAGAGGACACACGTGGACACTGTAAGGAAGCAGAGGTCACATTGCAGTCTCCTGTACATTAGACCATGTGCTCCTTTCATCCAGCTTGGTGTCAGTAGGTAGCCCATAACCTTAGAGATAGGAGGGAGAAGTGTCTGGTGAGGCAGTTTAAGGTGTTTCAGAAGCATGGATGAAGATGGGCCAAACTAGTTGATAAAAAGGCTGCAGCTCCACAGGTTTTGCCTCAGCTAAAAGCAGTAACTGTCTCCCACTTGAATGGTCTTTAGGGAACCTGAAATCGTTATGAAAAGACACAGAAACTGTCTGTGATAATAATGGCTATTCTCTGGCAAAAACTCAGTTGAACTTGAGCCTGGGGCATGTACAAGAAAAGTCAAGAGAGGAAGAATAATTTTGTAAATCTCAAAATTTTCATTCCAACAAAGTGTTGCTTATGAATTTGAATCCCATCTGAGATTAGTTTAAAACATTTTGTTTCATAAGAAAGATGATGTTTTGTCAGAGACAAACAGTTTCCAAAGGGCAGAAGTCCAGAAACAAAATGAGAACAATGCTATTTGAATTAAATGGCAGTCACAAAACTTAAATGATCAATTTCAAATAGTCAATAGTATGGCTGGTAAATTAATCATTTGTACAGATGTTTATGGAAATGCTTTGTGAAACATAAACATCTAAATTGCAAAATAGCTGATTTCAGCAAACCGTTGGACCTGAAGTGTCACCTGTATTGTGAACCTACAAGTCTTCAGAGAAGACAGATGGGTTAGAACAGGCAGAAGGAGTTACTTATAAAGATTTAGATTTATTTGGTGAGTTAGATGTGTTGGGTTTTAAGAAAAATATAAAGGTATCTGGAATCTGTCTAAAATGTTTTTTTTTTTTTAGAAAATATAAGCTAAAGGAGTTTGTCTTGCACTTCACATAAAAATTTGTATTTTTGTATGTAGTATTTTTGAAACTTCAGTCTTCAGTGCTTGCTTTGGTTTTTGCTTGCTCTTTTTGTAATGTAGTGAACTAACACTTTTTCTTGTTCTTCTCTTCTGAAGCAGATTCTTCTATAATCCTAAACAGTCTCTCTGGGCCTTTACTGCACTTTCTTACATGATTCTCTAAAGAGTGTAATTTCTGATTAAGTCAAAGATTGCTCTGAGGGTGGAAGAATTGTGAGTATAACTAGCAATATTTATTGTACTGATTACCGAAAAAAGGTAACAGTAACAGGTGCCATAATGAAAGCTTTCCTTTTGTCTTTCTTATAAGGCTTACTTTCCTCCTATTCCTTTCTAATAAATTACTGAGCATTCTGCTTATAATAATGTAAAACATTTGTGTTCTGTAATAATGTGGTTTGCAGCATCCCAAGGTTCATAAAGACTTACTGGAATTAAAATAATTTGTGATATAACAGCTGCTTTATCCTTTTTCTTTTCGACCTAGAAACCTTATGCATGTCAGATTCCAGGATGTACAAAACGATACACAGATCCAAGCTCTCTGAGAAAACATGTGAAAGCCCATTCTTCCAAAGACCAACAAGTAAGGAAAAAGGTAAATTTTTTACTGTGTTGACTGGTGTAAAGCTTATGTGGAGAGGTCAGTATTCTAATATTAGCTGTTAAAATGCATCTTCAAGTACCTGTGCTGACATCAGGCTGTTGATTAGAAAAACTGTTAATGGGAAGTTTCATATGGGTTTCATATAAATGATATTGACTTAATGAGGCTGCATGCTTTAATGCTTTTTATTTTCTGATGTGGTGATTAATCACTAAAGATACATAATGAGGTGACTAAAAGACATTTTTTGAAAACCTTTTTTTTTAAAGTTTTTCAAGTTCCGCTAATCTGTAAATGCACAGTAATACAAAATCCAGTTTACATAGCCAGTCTCAGGTGAAAGGATGGATTCTGAGGGTAAGATGGGCTGTATTTGAGATAAAGGTGGAAATTATATTTACATATTCCAGACACTTCCAAATACCAAGACATTTCACAGCACTGGTTCTCTGTGGATGTCAAGTCCATGAGTCAGCAGCTGTTTATGTATAAGCACATCTTTTAAGATCTGAGTTGTGACCTAAGGGAATGATTTCTCTTCCTGAGCATTTTTCATTACAACTCCTATTAATCACTGGCAATATTTCCTTAGATCATTGAGGATAAAAATGGAAGCTTTCATTTTAAAGGAAATTGGTTCTGATAAAGGGGAAACGCATGAACTGGTTTAGGGATAGACAAAACTTTGAAACAGAGCCCTATGTAAAACAAGTTACAGTTCAGAAGTTTCAAAATTAAGTGCACAACCGTTCATAGAAAGTTGCAAGAAACTGTCTTGTGCAGCACTACGTGGCAGTTTTTGAGGCTGCAGTATATAAATTGAAAGAGTACATTTTGATTCAGTGGTTTGTTGAAGCAGGACATGGCGGCAGAGATTCCATGACAGCCTCTGAGAAACTGCACTGTAGTAATTTTGAGGAATTTCTTTTAAACTAATGAATGCCAACTTCTGTATCAGAGACAAGGTAACTGAGCATCAATTTTCACCTTATAAGCAGTGCTTTGGCTCCCTTGCTTCTGTGCACACTTCTCACAGGAGGACTACCAAAGGAGGTCTGCGAGCTCTGTCCTGCACATCTGAGAAGGGCAACTCAGCTACCCAGACACTTGTCTTTTACAGGCGTGTAGACTAAATGCCAATCAAGACTTTGCATTCTGAAAAATGTGTGTGATGTGTCAGATAAAACTGACATAAATGGACCTGAATATAGCTATTCAGCTGCACTGTAACATTACTGTCTTTGAAAGTGAAATAATGTGTTATCTCCCTTCTATCATTATGACAGATTGCAATACTCTTGTGGGATTTTCCTTCCTGCATTCACTATTTCACTTTGCTTGTTTTCCATTCCTTATGTGCCAGACCTGGCTCTTTTTACTCCTTGCTTGACTCTCTATGGGCACATTCTAAACTTAAAATTGCTTATTTCTCATTCCTGTTCGATAAGGATTTATTTATGTGCATTGATCACCTGTGATATGTTGATATATGGAAGGGGAAATAAGCCAAACCACCACAAAAAGAAAAATAGTGGCTTCTATCAAGCCAGATACTTAAAGTGTGGATAAAGTTTGCAATGAACAATGTTTACAAGGTACAACATAGTTACTGAACCTTTAAGAACTTATAAGTGCTAACTAACATCATGCTTTGGTATTTGAAATATTTCCTGGTAGTAATAATAAGTAAGAAACAATAAACCTTTTACTACAAAATTAAAGTTATTTATGGTTTTAATTAAAAGTGAAAATTGGCTTAATGTCAAAAGAGTCTTTACAAAAATGTGAATTCATCAAAAATAACCATAAAAATTCCAAGGTGATAAAGGCACAGTGGAGTAATACTTTCAGCCCTAGGGATCTATTCTGTTGAAAAGAATAAAACCCTTTGCTGTCACACCCCGTTAGTCATGGATTCATTTAATATATCATGCCTGACTGCTTTTAATCCTCCTTTTAACCTCCCCCAACACACCAAATGACATTATTGTGGTGTCTTAAGTTGCTGGCTTTCCAAGACTGTACCTGCAAATGAGTCTTTTATGTTGCAGAGACTTAAAATAGCAGGATGAAGTATATTCATAACAGTGGAATTAACTACTTGCTGTGCTAAACTTTACATTGACTCTTCAGCCCAGATTTTCTAGATCTGTCTTCCAAGATTTCCTTGGCCCTCTAAGATGGGGCCAGATTATGCAATGTGATATAGATAAATTTCCATCTCTGAATTATTTTAAACAACTATTCTTTATGGCTTACCATGTGAGGCAAAAATGCCTTTTCTCTAAATCTTCTAAGGCAGCTGGTGTTCCCCTTCTCCTCCCAAACTCCAGCCTCTGGCCATCCACCAAATAACTGGGAATTGCTCCAGGTAATGGGATGAAAATCCTATAAACCAAGAAGATGATGGCACAAATATATTTAACGCAAGCAATTTAGGGGATAGTACAATAAAATTTCATTTACATTTCAGAGGAAAGGAGCAGAGTAAGGAGCGCTATGCCTGCATTAATCATCACTTGTAAAATTCTTCATAAACATAAGGGAAAATATGTACACAAATACCACACACCTGGGAACAGATGCTGAAAATGTCTAGCAAAACATTTTAGGCATAATCTCTATGCATCACAATGTTCAGGATGTATTTAAAGATAATTTAGTGTGATAAAAAGCAGTACTTCCTATTTTATTTTAAAAAGTAAAAAATGCTCTCTGTGCCTGGATTTCAACACCTCTTCAGCAATATGGGTAGATCTCCTTCTAAGCAGGGAGCTCAATGATTGAAAAGTAAGCTGCCCCCAAAATGAGAGCATAAAGTGATGCTAAGAGGAATGCTAGTGCACAACATGCCACTGGGCTACAATATCTTTTGAAATCTGTCTTCTTCTTATTCATCTCCTCCTTTCAGTTTTGAAAGAACAACAAACTTAGAAGATTTCTTGTAAGTTGAACAGTTACCTTGTGGTATTTAATACCTGAATGTATAATGGAAGGTAAGAGCCATGCAGGATTCAAAGAGAACCGGGTATTTCTGTGGGTAATGGGACAGAGTTAAAAAATAAAGATGAGTTTTGCAAGGAATATTTTGCTGCTTGAAGGTCATGCTTCAGAATAGAAGTCAGCATCAAGCTAAATAGATTATGGAAAAGTGTGGTTATTCTGTACTGCTTATTTGCAGCTTCTCACTCTTTTTCCTGAAATGCCAGCTGCTAATGGACACAGTGTACCTTGGGCCTGGTCTAGAATAAGCATTTGCTTCTGAACTGTTACTTTAAAATAACCTTCAGGCTGCCTACCCTTAATTTATGTGTTCTGCTTTTTTCTTTCTCTTGTTCAGCTTTTATAATCCTTTTCTCTTTCAGTTTTCTTTCTTATTCTGTCTTCCACCTTCATAGCTTTGGGTCTTTGGGATATGCAGCCCAAACTGAACTTATGTAGGTGGTTGACGTGCATATGCTATGATAAAACCAATCCCAGGACTTTCTTCCAGTCCAGATACTCCTATATTCTCTCATCTTTCACCCTGTTTCTTTCTGTCATTTTTTGCATGTGAAGAGTTCAACTAAATTTTCCATTAGAAATTATATTGGAACATACAGGCAGCCTTAATAAGAAAGGCTACAGTTGAGAGCTTTGCTTTGGTATCCTCAGCAGGGCTCAGTAATTTTGTTCCTTGAATCATCTTGTAGAGTCTCTGACTAGTCAAAATGCACTATTTGACACATAAGCTTATTTTCAGTTGTTTACACTTTGTGTTTTCAGTAAACAGCAGATTTCTTTCATCTGTGAATTGATGATATGGTTTTGAAAATATTAATCCATAGTTTTAGTTTGTATGTATTTTTAGTAAAGTTAGTAAAGGCATAATTATATAATGCATTTTTAATAAAATCCAGAGCTTGCACTACTACATACTCAGTGATTTGAAAGCAATATACAAGACAAATACTGGCATTATGCTTTTTATAAAGATTGATTTGTTGTGCAAGCTATCACACAGCCTTGTACAAGCATAAGAACATTACCTTTTTCACATATCATGAAAACCATTTGCTATTTCTACAGGAGTCTTGCTGAAGGAATCTGTATTTGTAAATCTAAAGAAAATATTTAAGCATTACATTGCAAGTTATGCAAGCGCCTTGTTGTTTCTCATGTGCCTTAGCATGCATCCCAGGAGAATCTGCTCCAAGATTTTGCCAGGCACAGAGTTGTGACTGATTAGCCTGTAATTCCTTGGGTCATCCATTTTCCCTTTCTTGAAAATGGGGGTTATATTTCCATTTTTCCACTCGTCAGGAACTTCACCTGACTGCCATGATTTTTCAAATATAATGGATAAAATGATTGTTTCCATTTAATTAAAGGAAAACATAATGGATAAGGACACAACTGGTTAGCTCCATCTTTGTGGAGAAAATGAAAAGATAATTCCTTTTCAGGAATTCAAATAAGCAACACTAGAAGGGAATGTAAAAGTCTTAGTCTGGGCCTTGAACTGAAAGACAGTTTATACCAACTAATACCATCCGTCAGCTGCCCAGTCTTTGATTCTTTGGCAATTTTAACAATGCCCAGATTATGTCTTGATCTTGTGTAATTTAGTTATGGATCAGATACATTATACAGATGAGCTTTTATATATTGAACGATTACTTGACAATTGCCTCTGAAAGCTGTCTGTCTCTTGGATACCTACATCATCTTAGCTGAATCAAATGGGTCTGGAGGAAACTATGCATGGATTCAGATGACAAAATAGCTTAACACCTCCTAGGTCTCCACTTGATTTTTCAATACTATACAGAGAGGCATAGATCAACTAAAGCATGCAGCTTTTAGTCTTAATTATATTTTGCTCCTTATTTATGTATTTGATTTGTACTTAGTCTTAGTCTAACACAATTGTGCTTGTGTCTATTTTCCTGTCTTCTTCCAGGACACAATTTTCGTATTGTCTCTGCCAGAAAGCAAGTAGCATGGAGCCATGGTTTTGGGAGAGGCAGTGCAAAGGATATTTCTGAAAACTGGCTACAGCTGGTAGAGGTTTTTTGAATTGTAGTGTATATGGCACATCTTCTAAATCACTAAGAAATGAAGGGCACAGTGAGACCTCAGGAGACAAGGGATATGTGCATAGACTTCCAGCTTGGTTCATTTCTGCCTAATAATTTTGCTTTTGACACAGATTGATCAATTGTAAGATGACGGCTGAACAGTGGCTTCTGTGGAGTTGTCAAAGCATTCTCCCAGTGAAAATGGGCTCTTCCAGGATTTGTTCCTATGATATCTGACGGACTCTTTTCAGGTGTGCTGAAGAGGAATAAAAGACAGGCAGTTCTACTTTGGATTGTAGTAGAGCCTAGTAGAGAACAGCAGTTCACACTAGGTGTGGAGCAGATTAGAAATAATGAAATAAGGATATGGATTGTCTGGCCAAAGGAATTCCTGGAATTGCATTGCAGAGTGGTGGCTTCTACTGACCTTGATCACATTTCCCATCTGAACTGAAGGGGCTGTACTGAACCCACCTTGCACAGCTCAAAATGATCCTGCAGATACTGCTCTTCTGTCGCTGTGCAACCCCTGTATTGACAAAAAGGGGATATAAAATCTTTACCTTCAGAGGCAGATCTCAATAACTGAATGGTCCTGAATCCTAGTCATTTTATATCCCTTTTCTAACAGTTTACCACTTCTGTCTCAGAGCTCTGTTATGTATAATATATATAAACCTGTCCATCTTACCATGAAAACATTAAAAGAAATGGGGAAAAAAACATGCTTAAAAACATGATATCCTCTATCGAACATTATTTCTCTGAAAATAAGACATACAAGTGTTTTCATTACAGGTTAACATGAAGTTTTCTGTAAAGCTTTGAGAGATTGTCTACCTTTGTATGTGAGTCATGTCAGCAAATATATTACTCCCTCAGCAAAATAATACAGAGCTCTTGCTTCTTATAGGGCTGCTCATTTTTTGATTATTCATTATTTACATTGTTTTACAGTAGAAGCAGGCTTTTTTATTGTGACATGTTGATTTTACTGCACAGTTGATGAAGCTACCAGTTTCTTTATAGGTTCTGAAATAAACACAGTGTTACATCACCATTTAGATTTAGTGGAGAACATGAATAGTAAACAATGTCTGGTGATTTTCTTTAGCTAGTATCTTTGGTTTATTTAATTTCACAACACTTATTTCCATTTTATCCTTTCATTTCTCAGTATTTGAGAATCCAGAAACATAATGCTTGATGTGTTACTCACAGGAAATAAATTAACTTCTTTCTATTTTTTTTAACTCAGAATGTTCAGTTTCTAAGGAAAGAGGAATCCATGGAGGTTTAGAGCATTACATCATTGGTATTTCAGCAGGTTATTCGGGCACTAATCCAGTTACTGGTGACATTGTCCATTATGTGACTATATTAATCTGGAGAAATTGCTCTGTTTATGAACATCTGCCTCGTGGGGAGTAAACTGCCAGGTTCTGCATTATGAGCCCAGTTTGCTTCTGCATCTTTCAGGTTTCACTTGCCCTTATTAAAACTCTTTGTTAAAATTTCACGGTTAAAATAGCAAAAGAGAGAACAGATTGAAAGGGAAGCAAATCTATTTTCTTGCTTTGTGAGCAGTTGAACATAAGGATATTTTCCATCATTTGTTCTTTATGGACTCCATTTAAGAGATGTCACTAATGCAAAAAGAAGTGCATTCAGGGGTTAAGGGTCAGTGAGCAGTGCCCATGGCAACTAAGAAACTATTCTGCAGAAAAAATGCAGTAAAGAGAAAGTGTTTTAATCCCCAACTTTAATCCCTTTACTTCCTGTTTTCAAAATGAAATATAAATCAGGCACCATGATGTGCAGCAATTTTTCCTGAAAGGGATGTTGGCAAAAAGGGATTAGGAATGGCAGCAGTGTTTAAGGAATTTAATCATACAATTTGTTGGAAAACTTTTGAGACTACGAATGACCAGTTCTTTTGAGTGTGGTCAGTGAGAAACAGGAAAACAGACCCTGAAAGTGATGGAGGACTGACTGTTGTTGAATCCCACCCCCATCCAGCTGCTGCATGAGGCGTTTCTTACACGGAAACTTCATCATCGGGGATATGCTTTGCCAGGGGTGAATGTAGAGGAGGAAACAACAAAACCCTCCTTATGATTTTCAGGGTGCTATTGCAGTTATAATGAAGAGATTGTTGGTACAGTCTGATATTAACGTTTTCTATTTCACATCACGACTCCTCCCTGCACTTGGTTTCTGCCCTGAGTTTGTACTCCTATGAGCTTTGGCAGTGTGATGTGTTGAAAAGTCACCCTCGTTACCTTTAAGCATTGCAAAAAATAAAAAAAAAATAAGAAGAGAATCCATATCATCTCAAAACACTGGAAGCAGCTGTAAGTGTGTGCCCAAAGTGTTTTACGTTCTTCAGGTTCATTTTTAGTAGCAGACACTATAATTTTCTCCATTTGTGTGTCTTTACTTCTCTGCCACAGCATATACATGGAAGTGGGCTTGAGCAAACAGGAATTCTTCTTTCTTTAGGTGCCTGATTGACAGAGTCCATTGGGAGGCAGCCCTGAAGGGCAAAGGTGTCCAGGAAGGCTGGACATTCTTCAAGAAGGAAAACTTCAAGGTTCAGGAGCAGGCCATCCCCATGTGCCAGAAGATGAGCTTGAGGCTAAGAATACCAGCCCAGCTGAATAGAGAGCCTTGGCTGGAAATCAGGGGGAAAAAAACAGTTTATTACTCTTTTATTGCTTTGGAAGAAGGGGCAGCCAACTCAAGAGGCCTACAAGGATGTTGTAAGGTTAGGCAGGGAGAAAATGAGAAGTGCCAAAGTTCAGTTAAATTTAATTTGGCTACTGCAGTAAAAGACAATAAAAATGTTTATAAATATGTTACCAACAATAGGAGGACTAATGAGAATCTCCATCCTTTATTGGATGTGGGGTGAAAGGGTGACAAAGGACGAGGAGAAAAGGCTGAGGTACTTAATGCCTTTGCCACGGTCTATAATAGTAAGACCAATTGTTCTCCAGGTACCCAATCCCCTGAGCAGGAAGACAGGGAGGAAAACACAGCCCCAAAATCCAAGGGAAAACGGACAATGACCTCCTCCACCACTAACACACATACAAGTCTATGGGGCTGGGTGGAATCTGCCCAAGGGTACTGAGGGAGGTGGCAGAATTTTTTTCATATTAGATTCCATAGAAATTTAAAGTCAAATAATGCTCATTAATAATGTAACTGATAAGGATTTGAATCTGGATATATCTGGCCTTTAATTTCACATGCACTTAATGTCATGAAAAAGCCATGTTACTAGTGATAGCAATAAAACCAGAATAAGGTATTATCTGTACAAGTAGCCCTTGTTCTGAGTATAGTATTGTTAAGCATCTGAACAAGTTCCCTTCTTCAGATTCAAAAAATGCCTGCCGTAATAGAATGTTATTAACCAGTATTTAAAAGAGAAGAATTCTGCTTGTGCTCTGTTTCTTTCTTTAACCCCTCACCATTTCTTCATTATAATTTTTTGGTGTCTTAAGGATTTGTGTGATTTATTTTCTTGTTTGTTTTTTTTTGTTGTTGTTTTTCTTTTCTCCCTTTTTATCTCCTGTGTTTCAGTTGCAATCAAGCTCAGAGCTTGGCCTGGATATCCTGAATGACTGCCTTGCAGTCCAGCCCCTCCAGCCAGCCCCATCGCCACATGATGCTGCAGATAATACTTTGGGACACTCCCCAGGGCTTGCTCACAATATTTACCCAGGTATAGAAAGAGACAAATAAACAGCCTGCTATATTATTTTTCACTGAAGATTAGGGATGGCTTTGCAGAGTCGGATGCACTCTAAAATCCATATCTATCTCATTAGAAGGATCGAATCTGTAATATAATATGAAAAGATAGATTTTTAAGAGATTTTTAACAGTTTTTTTTCAAAGGAGGCAGGAGAAATCATATTTTATCCATTAAAAGACCAACTGGAATGAAAAGCAGTATTTTTGCTCTGTAGGCATTTGACTTGTGCTAGCAGTTCACTTCTACCATTCCTTGTAGGCGTCTTGAATTCATTAAGCTTCACTGAAAAATTGAAGGAGTATTTTTTCTTTTCCTTATTCATGTATCACATAACAGTTTTCAAACAGATCTACATTAATGAACTTAAATGTTGCATTATGAGCTCTCATATTATAGCTATAAATATACCAAGAACCACATTTGTGCTGTAAAGGTGATAATCCTATTTTTTTGTTTCAGTTAAGTATCTAGATTTTTGTATTAAAATACATAACGCTGTCATACCTCTCTAAATGTACAATTGTTTACATTTCAGCTAAATTTGAAATATTTGGTAAGTTATGAGTGATAGTATCTCAAAACTTAGGACAGCGATGGGTAGGATGTTGCCATTTTTTAATGCAGTATTTTAGTAGTTGTAAAAACATCTGTTTTTAATTTTCAGGCAGAATACATCTAGGAGTTCAACTTTCAATTGAGAAACAGATGTAGGAAGTGAAAGAATTATCTGACTGTTATGTGCAGTGCTGAAAATGACATTATATGAAGTGCCCACATTAATAAGTGACTTTATTTTACTGTGAGGCTTGTAAAACTATCAGTCCTATGATACGTTTTGTCAAGGCTGTTGAGAGCTACACACTAGTTGGTGATGATCACAGAATCATAGAATAATTAGGGTTGGAAAGAACCTTAAGATCATCAACCTCGCACTAAACCATGTCACCCTAGACTCTGTCCAACCTGGCCTTGAGCACCGTCAGGTATGGAGCATTCACAATTTCCTTGTGCAACCCATTCCAGTGCCTCACCACCCTTACAGTAAAGAACTTCTTCCTTATATCTAACCTAAACTTCCCCTGTTTAAGTTTAAACCCATTACCTCTTGTACTACCACTACAGTTCCTAATGAAGAGTCCCTCTCCAGCATCCTTGTGGGCCCCCTTCAGATACTGGAAGGCTGCTATGAGGTCTCCACAGAGTCTTCTCTTCAGGCTGAACAGCCCCAACTTTCTCATCCTGTCTTCACATGGGAGATTCTTCAGCTCCCTGATCATCCTCATGGCCCTTCTCTGGACTTGTTCCAGCAGTTCCAGGTCCTTCTTGTGTTGAGGACACCAGAACTGCACACAATACTCCAAGTGGGGTCTCACAAGAGCAGAGTAGAGGGGCAGGATTGCCTCCTTCGACCTGCTGGTCACGCTCCTTTTGATGCAGCCCAGGATACGGTTGGCTTTCTGGGCTGTGAGTGCACACTGCTGGCTCATGTTCAGTTTCTCGTAAACCAACACCCCCAAGTCCTTTTCCACAGGGCTGCTTGAAATCACTTCTCTGCCCAACAGGATTGAAGCTAGGTGAGGACAGTGTGTCCAATGAGCTAAGACCAGGTTTTCAGAAGTTGAGGACATTCTCAGAGATTTTCACTGGAATCTGTTGAGCACTCAGCTCTTTTACCCATGTAGTTTTCAGACTATGATTAAGTCTCAGACTCCTGATGCTTGGTCTATCCAAACCAGTCCAGACAGCTTGAAGAAACTGCTGCCCCATGAACTGTCAGGATCCTAGGCTAAATAAAACTTGCCTCCAGGCACCCCTTAGCTGCTAGTGTCTGCAGTCATGATGCAGACAGCTTCTGAGACTGTGGCATTATTTTTTGTCTTTCATCAAAGCATCATGCTTTGTCTTTCAATTAAGCACTACTAACTATGGACATTCTTTGATACAATAATTTGTAGTGGCTTATTTTTTTTTCTTACTTGCCACTGATTCCTATAGTTCAGCAATTCTTATAATATTAATCAACATACTTTTATCAGCATTAATTTCTTGGTAAGTAATAAACTTCTTTCCCTTACATGTGTTCACAGTTATCTGTAACCTGGCAAATTTCTTGTAATTTTATTCACTTGTGTGGGTTCACTTTAGTTACTGTGGGTATTATGTCAGGTATAGATGAATTCATGTCACTTCATTTTGACAGCCACCCAATACAGTTGAAATGAATTGTTTCATTAACTACTCATCAGGGCTGCTACATAATCATATATTATGTGAATATGTGAGATAACTCCAACAGGGAGGGAATTATTTTATTGAAATGGCAACATGAAAGTTATTCATGCCCCAAGAGAATACAAAAGCATAATATATGAAAGCTTATGTGTCCTGCCTTAGAGAAGGTACCCTTCAGACTTCTCTGAAAACAGCATTTTTCCTAAATGTAAAGAAAAACTTTGAGACTTCTCTGAAAAATAAAATTTTTGCTGGGGACTGCTTTTGGGTTTGGGTTTTTTTTGTTTGTTTTTTGCTGAGGACTGTTAGAAACAGCATATTAGCTGAAATCTGTCTGTGTTACTTTTCAAGTAGAAAAAGGAACAGATTTCCATTCTTCCAATGCCATTAATCAAACTTTTCTCACTTGAAGTTTACTTTTCTTATCATTTGTGCATTTAAAGCGAAGGTATGTTTTCTGCTTTCCCAAGAGATTTACAGAATAAATGTTTGAAAGCAAACTATTAGAAAAATGTATGACAAAAGTAGACATTTAGATCCTAGTGCATTTCCACTTAATGAACTATAATGGCTGCAATGATCAGCATTTCTCTGTACTGTTAAAGTACAAAATCTGCAAACACATATATTTAAATCGAATACAACAATGATTTTTGATTACATATCTATTACTTAAAGTTAAGAGTGCATAGCTTTTTTTCATAGCTTTCAGCCTTTGTGACCTTATAAAAGAAATCTGAACTGAGTACAATCTTATTAATACAGTAAGGTGACATGACAGATTCTTTATGTAAAACTAACATAAAATTACATTTACATTTTAGGTCTAAAATTTAGCAAGCATGCATACCGTTCTAAGGCTGTGCATAATGATATTTTGTAAAATAGAAATCCAAAGTCTGTTTCTACAGAAGTGTAAAATTTCTGGTAGCATTTAGGTTTTAATTTTTAAAACACATGGGCTTTGGGGTTTATTTAGTTCATACGATGAAAATGTGAGCAATTAATTCATAATGAAAACATATAAATGATGTTTTTTCTTCTGTGAAATTATATCAGCTTACTTCGTATAGTACAGTATAGAACGTGTAAGGGTGAAAGAATCATAAATACTGCAGTATACAAGAAATTTATTTTTACTGTGCTGTTTGGTTAAAACATGAACATTTCATATTCAAGGACAAACCAGAATGTGTCATTCATTTATAAATAGTTACTGAATATCACACTCTGCTCTGCTTCAGAGCAAACAAATGATATTACTAAGGCTTGTCAAGTGCATGATTTTCTTTACAAGCTGGAAATTAAAAATTTCATCAAGGAAGTTAGAGAAGGTTTTGCAATTCCAAGTTTTATTTAAATAACATCTTATGTCCAGTACTATGACCTTTGGCCCAACTACTACATAATGCCAATGACTTAAGATGTGTTCTACTTAAGTAACACTTTTCCTTGTGCATGTTTTTTTTGTTCCAATAAAACAGTACTGAGCTAGGTGCTCTACACACATAGTAAGAAAAAATTAATTTCCAAAGGAGTTTATATCTAAGAAAATGTTAGGGCAGTAGGTAGATACAACAGGCAGGTAGAGTATATAAGATTCATACAGGAAAAATGAAAGAACTTTACTAAAGCAATTGTCCTAGTGGGTGAGCTCCCTAACCATTAGGCACCAAGGGCAGTGTGGGAGATGTCTGAGGAAAAAGCAGTCTGTTTGTTAAAGCTGACAGCCTTGGGAAGTAGTTGTCACTTGTTACTGAAAGAAAAAAAAGAATGAGGAGGAAGAACTGAGGTATTTATGGCCATTGCAGTAAAAAAGAGTTGCATTTGATACATATGGAGTGAAGGCAAAAGGAGGTGATGTAGGGTAACCAACAACTAAGAAGATCTCTGTTGTCACCTTCTTGGCTGCATTTAAGTATGACGTACATATCCAGAACTCACACTAAATATGATGCATTACCAGGTAGGACCATACACACATTACAGGGGGCTGAAAATTGTTAATATTATTATGTTACCTGTTTTAAGGAGGTCAGTGTATTTCCTTTCAGACTTTGTGTACCAGATTTATTTCTGAGTATATGATTTCCATTTTGAAGCATCTTAATGGTTTTCCAAATACTGGTGTAATGGTCAGGCTCACATTGTGAAGAAGAGAACATTTACTAATGAATTGGTACAAACATCATAAGCAACAAGGCAACATCACCATTTAGTTCCTTTCTTCATAATGATACAGAACTTCAGAAACTGCAGTCCACTGAAAGAGAAGAATGTCTTGAAAGACAGAGATGTGATGTAAAGATGCCATGGGAGGAACAACTCTGGAGACAGGCTAATTAAATACATAATGTAATTTGACTTCTGCTCTGCTTCTTAATGCATGATGGCTTCTTAAGTTCCATGCACACTGGAATCTTACAGAGAAGCTGAGTAGAATCAAAGCAACACAGATAGTATGTTTTACATTTGCTGGGTTTACCACTTCCGGCTCGAAACAGCACATGCCCACATATTCCTGACCACGAAGTCCTGTAGGGAAGTGTGGGCTCCCTAGGGGAGGTAAGAGGGGAGAATATATGAAGGTGATGCTCTCAAGAGCAAAAATCATTTCAGCTTTTTCCTTCTGTGTGATAGTAAAACTTGTTCACAAGGACTGCGTAAATATTTCTTATAGAAATAGAAGGTGAAATATAGTAATTAACCCTCCCCCAAACCAAATCAAATCAAAC